CACCCCCATCGCTTTTGGGGCCCCTTGATGCAGGGCTCGTGTCTGGCACAAAGCACGCAGCGCACCGAGGACGTGAGCGGTTTGTCCGCTGTGAATGCGTATGTCCTGCTTTGGTAGTGCTCCATGCTGGGCTCGGGTGAGAAAAGCCCTGCTGACCTGCGCCTGTGAAGATGGGGGTGCAGGACCCGTGGGCGTACAGACCTACCCTGCAGCATTTGTTACTGCCTTCTCCGGCTGCTGAGCACTCCTCCATGCCGCCTGCAGCGTGGGCTTGTGGGGCAAAGTGCTGTACTGGAGCTGTCTTGACTCACTGTGACCCAGAGGAGTTGGGTCCTGTGAGCAACCTCAGCACTGGGGGAGAGGTGCCCAATCCCGCTGTTCAAGCGGAGAGCAGCTGCGTATGGCTGGAGGATGGTAACCTCTTTCAGTGGGGTTTGCAAGAGGCAGTCAGTCCACAGTGAGGTTTATCTGACCGTTCAGAAATAGTTAATTTTGCAGCTGATCAGCTGTGGCAGAGCCTTCTTTAATTTAAGATGCGATCCTTTTGATGTTATGCAATACAGTACATTATAAAGTTTCCTAGGTAGGTCTGTATGTGAGTGCATATAAGAACAGGATGTTAGCGATGGGTTAGACACTTGAAAGAGTCTAGACCAAATCACACTTCAGGATTTGTTTTGACCTGTCTTTATTGTTCAGCAGCAGTCAACTATGCATGTGGACTGTTGGTCCCGCCTGAGGACAATACTGTTGTTATGTTGGCCTTGGCTTACTTTTTTGAAAGGAAAAGCTTACGGGGTTCCTGGCCAGCCAAATGTAGAAGGTTACTCTGATAACCATGCTAAAGATCTTGTGTTAAACCATGTGGACTGCTTGCTTTACTCTCTGACAATGCATTCAAGACTTGCCAGTTCTTTTTCTGAGACTAGGCTAATATTGCCTATCTTTACTAGTGTTGTTGTCTTTGCTTCTGACCTACCTATCTATTACTCGGGCAGGCAGCAGGAGTCCGTGAATATTTTCCCTCTTCTTAAAAATATAAAAAAATTGTAAATTGAAGTGACAACTGCATGCTCATCCCATGAGCTGGTAAGACTGTGCTGCTACTTTTCAATATAGGTGTATAAGGCTGTCATCTGTTTCTGAAACCAAGCTTCCTGAATATAAGTGGCTAGCTTGTTCCTGAGATTATTGTATGCTTATTCTTGTCTCTTCTTGTTCTGAGTATCCCAAACAAACGTGTTTTCATAGCTTCCTTTGAAAGATTAGTATGCTGTATACTAACACTGCTCTTGGAAAGTTTTTCCTTCTATTCAGTCTGTGTTTTCATTTGTGTTCTTAATTTAATTGCTTTTGTTTTAGGTATGCTTACTGGTGTTACTATAAACTCTCTTCCATTGGTGTTTATGGCATCAAATGTTTGCCCACTCTTACTCTCTTCTATTCATTCCTGATTAACTGAAGGCTTAAACCTTCCTTCAGGTCTTTCCAGCCACATAATCACTTTATTACTCTTTCATCTTTTTTCTGCGTGATAAAATTTAATTTGTGTATTTGGTTGCATGATTATCCTGCAAGCTTGTGGATTTTTTTTTTGGTTGGTTTGTTCTCAAGAGACGCTGATTTTTAACTCTGCTGTTTGCTCTGTTTTAAACAGAAGTTCTTTGACTTAGACTTTTTCCAAGGCGGAGACCTACCTACAAAATTTTATGTATTTATTTTATGATGTAAATTAAGTTCTAGGCCTCAGGATAGAATATTCTCTAGTCTGTTATTCTACCTTTTTTTTTTCCAAGTGTGAAATACAAGCCTCTGCCATTAAATAAGTAGCTAGTAACAAAAGCAGAATATCAGTGGTTTGGCTAACCTAGTAGTGGCAATCTACTTAGGTGAGCAGGGATGTACTGTGGTAAGTGTGGTATAGATAGTGTGAGGGAAGTACATTATGTAAAAAAATTATTTTTTGTTGCCTCTGTAAAAACTCTGCTAGGCTGATATCTCTCCCCCTGCCCCCAACTTAAAATAGCTTAACACTTAAATCCTGAAGTGTTCTTTCTTTTGTACAACTTAATTTTAGGATCTCAAAAACATGAAGTTGTTCTTGTTTCCCCTTCAGCCAGTAAAATTGTAATAACCTTTAAGTGGGTAGTCTTTTTAAGATTCTCAGCAACTTATTTCAGGATGTTGCCCTTCCAGTTTTGTAGATTGATTTTTTTTTTTTCCTTTTTTCCTTAATATAAAATTCAGCAATACTAACGAGAAATTTCCTGGAATTTGAAATTAAAGTATAGCTAAAGTTGATAAGATATTTAACATGCAATGATCCTTTTCTGCAGCATCCAGTTGTTCAGTCTGTCTCTCTATAGCAAAATTTTTTCGTGTATATAAGCAACATTTTATTTCTTCATATGTAAAGATAACCCAGTGCAGTCTTTTTTCTTATTTTTGTTGCACGTTTTAAGTTTATAAATAAGTGTATTGGCATTAGGAAATGTATTTGCAGTATTGCAGAATACTAAAACCCAATAGTTAAAACACTCAAAGAACCGTAAACCTTCCCAATGGCACCCGGGCAAAACCCTGTGCAAACAGATAAGCCTGGGCCTGAGGGTCAACAAGCTCTTGCTTTGTCAGATCTGTTAAGTTAGCAAGTTGCAGAGAAGATTCACCTTTTGTTTAAAAACTCATTTTTGCTCTTTGCTTCGTTCTCTTGAACATAAATGTGAATCGTGTGTAAATTGATAAATATGTGCAATCCCAGGCTTGACTACTTGTCAGAAGAGTCCTAACTGGAAGTCACTTACTTGAGAGTTGCAGTTAATCTTGCTTGCAGAATAGAATAGAGAAGAGTCATTAAATATTTTGTATTGTATTTCAACTGAAACGGGCTTCAGGCTTCAATCTCAATCCTTAGCAGATCTAAGTGTTCTTGAACTACTTATTCCCTGAGATTAGCTATGGAAAGGAATACACCTGACAAGAAGTGATGTTAAATGGGCAGGGATTTTCTAAATTCCTGAAAACTTAGAATTGGAAGTGATTCTCATTTTAATTTATACTGATACTAGAGTATCTGGCAGTATCCCAGCTCTCTTGCGATTTTAGGCATTCAGTGTTCTAATAGGTTTGTAACGGAGAAATATTATGTCTGTGCTTGATGAAATGAGAGGGAATTGCTGCTAGACTTGCCTCTCCCTACCCACTATTTTTTCTTTCTCTCTAAAGAATATGGAAGTCCTTTCCTCCAGCTGACTACTGGAGTCAACCTACCTTTACTAAAGCAATAAGAGAGCTCCTAGATAATGTCTGATTGTAGAAGGTAACTCTATTTAGTATTATAAACTAGTGTGTCAGTTGAGTAAGCATGCTGGCCACAGTGTCCCAGTAAGAACTTGGGTGGCACCACCTTCTCACTTATCTAGTAAAATTGTTGCCGTTGCACTGGGGGCTCAGTGAGTTTCTCTGCAACTCTACACGCAATTGTCAGCACAGTTTGGAGGGATCTTAAGGTCTTTGGAAGACCTTAAGCTGGCATGACGGTTGCAGCCTTGGTGCTATCAAACTCTGTTACACAGATATAAAACAGAAATGTGTGTGTGCATGTGAGTGTGTGTATATATATATATACACACACACATATACATTATATATGTGTGTATATATATGTGTTTTGCATAAGAAGTGTTTCATAAAATTGTCTCCAAATTACCCTGAGGTGACACATAGGTATTTTAGTGAATCAGCTGATGAAGAAAAAAATAAACATTGAATGTTCATTACTTCTTGAATAAATGTATTTTCTTACAATATTTGGTATATTTTCTTTTCTAAAGACTATTTATTTTAGTTCTATATTTGCAGTAATTGTTACTCTTGAAATGGAGAAACTGAAGTCATAGATGATATCCTCATATACACACCTCTGTACCAGTGAAAGAATTTACTGCTTTCAGTCCTCCCTGAAGGCCCCCTAACTCTTTCGCAATCAGATCCACTGATTTTTTACCTGCAGTAAGCTGTCAGAGCAAGTCATCTGGACAGATTCATGAGAGAGAGAATTGAAGTCTTGCCTGGTCCATGTGAATTTGGAGGCAGTTTATCTGTAGCCTTATTTAACTGCTGAAGCTGGTTATTTCAGAATCATCAGCATAAGTGTATGCAGTACAGCTGTTATAGAGGAAAATGTGTTGGCTACAAAGAGACATTGCCTGCTCTATGGGAGAAGTTGTGCTTCTGATATGAGGGGCATCTGTGTTTTTAAAAAGGGAAAAAATCAACAACAAAAAGTAAAAAGATCAAACATTGATGTCTTAGACTGAGCTTTAATTTTGGAAGTCAGGAAAAAATAGTTGATTCTTACAGGGATGAATGTGATTACTTCATAAAAAGTAGGGCAAAGAAAAAATTTAATCTTAAAGTATGTGTATATTTTTGTATATATATGTACATATTTGTATATATACACACACAAACCTAAAAACTTTGGTATCAGTGCTATATACCAGGGATGTATGATTCAAATAGGGAGGTTTTTCATTATTGGGCTGCAACATTTCCCCCCCCCCCATCTCCCCTACAGTGCCCCCAACTCCACACTTTTACTGCAGCTGCCTCATCTCTGAGATGAGACCTCTGCCGCCTTCCTTTGAGCTCCAGTACAGTGGAGGCCCCCTGGTTGTACCCTCACTGAAGTAGGTTATTGTGCTGTTTGCAAGCCTAGTCCTGGAGTAAGCAACCTCAAGTGGTCAGCTGATGTTAAATCAACTGAAGTTGGTGGGGATACAGGACACTGGGATGCGAGGACTCTCTTTGTATTGCCTAACCACTTTGTAGATGATTCATATCTGTGGTTGTCGTAATCTGCCCGGGGCAGCAGAGTTGCCTCTTTTCCTCGCTGCCTGCTCGCTTGTATTGTGGTGAGCAAAGTGAGGCTGGAGAAACTGTGTGCTGCTTATCTTTAGGTAAATGCCAAGCACTTGAAATAAGTCAGTAAGCCAGACCTGTGTGAATAATTCCTGATGATTCTGCATATACTTAGATGCAGGCTTTAGTGCTAAGCCTTTGAAGAATCTCTGCGCATGCTCAGGCTTGTTGGACCTTTGTTTCCAAATTTCTGAGGGTTCCTTCTCAACCGAACATGTTTCAACCCAGAGCTGCTGCAGTGATGGTGTTTTCCTGTTGCAGTGGTAGGCTGTATGCCAGAATTGAGGGTAAGAAAATTATTTCCTGTGCTCATGGGGCTTGCTTTGTTGCTGCTCGGTGTTAGGACAGCCACAGTTGTAAATGAAGATTTAGTTGGGGATTGGCCTCAGAGCTGTTAATCAAAGTGAAAGAGCCTAGCGTTGAGGAGAGAACATGGGTGCCAGGAGATGTGGGATACCTAGAAACCTGCAGTAAAAAGATAATCTCAGCAGTCAAGAGCCTAGGATTTGCTGAAATCCAGGCTGGTGGCTGTGGGAGAACATCTCCCTACAGCCTCTACCAGAAGGAGCCAGAGTAAACCTTGTGGAGCTCTTCAGTTCTGTAGTTCTTAGCATCCAAACAATTCAACTTTATCTCTGCTTTACTCTGTGGTGTAGTCACATTCTCCACTAGTCTTAAAAACAGAACTTAAGAACCAGGTTAGAACAGTAAATACATATTTTTAGGTATTAGTATTAAGGGACATGTACAGTGAAAGGCTGCTGTGGCCATACCCCTTTTTGACCTTCCCTCCCTGAAATTTCTGCAGGGACCGCTTGAACTTGCCGTAAGCAAGTTCACTGTGCTTCTGCAGTATACAGTATACCTATATACAGCTTCCTGAGCTCAGCTGAGGTCTAGTAATAGATCAAGCAGCTGCTGCATCCCTTGAGGAGCTGACATTAGATGAAGACTCATAGAACACATCTCAAAGTGTTTCACGAAGCTGCTTTTTTCTTATGCTCATAAACACTTTGTTATGTAACATTATGGTAGCTGAAATATTTGGCCAATAAGTTGGAGGCCGTAATTTTTGCAGAGTAAGGTATTTAACTTTGATCCCAAGGGTAAGAGTTCAAACACACCCCTCTGCTTAGCACTGTCTATTGGCTGGTTTTGATGATTTGCAAATGCAGCATATGGTGGTTTTTTGGATCATTTTTGAGATATTGATTCTCTTTGCACACTGTGTGAGGACTCCTGACCCTAAAGTTTTGTCTGCTTTCCTGGATACTGAAAGTGCCTAAATCTACTTTATGGGCACCTAAATAGCTTGATAAAGCTTGCTTCCTGTGTAAGCACAGCTAGAAGCTTCATCTGTTATCTTTATTTTTTTTCGAAAGGTTCATAGAACCCTTTAACTGCATGATTTGAACTGGATCCTAGTCATGGACTTAGAACCACACTAAAATGGTGAATTATCTACACACTGATTTTTTTTCCTGCTTTCCTACAACTTTTTTTTCTAAATGGGGATATACTTATTTAAAATTCCCCTTGCTTTTAATTCCATGGGCAATGTGCTAAAAATTTAGTATCATAAGGGGCTAAGACTGCTGTTTTTCCTGGCTTTGAATTTTGCCTAATGATTGTATGCTTCAGCCATTTAAATGTGTTATATTATAAGTGGTTCTTGAGCCTTATCCTTAATTTATGATAATTCGTCTACCTAAGGTTCTAGATATTTATTTAAACTCTTCAATCAGCCTTTGCAAGGTGAAGGCAAAAATCAACACTCAAATTTGTTTTTCATTGTGTCCTGTCTTAGATATCTTTCCGACCAGCATCCCATGGACCATAGATTGCAAGTAAATGGGAGAAATTTAAAGGTGATTACTTGTGCGGGGTTTTTTTACTTTAAAAGTTACATGGTTTGGGGCCTTTTAATGTACATGTTCAGCTGACTCTTCCTGAGCAAGAAGTTTATTTAAACTGAGTGTTACCAAATAACTGAATTTGATTAAATTGCATAAAGCAAACAGAGCTTGTAATCCTGAAGCAAGAGCTTGTTTCTCTGTCCTTCCTCTATGTCCTCACTATGCAAAGTTGTTTAAACAAAAAACCCCAATGGATTGATTAGCTAATTAGGCCGTGATGTAGATGGCCTGAATCTTAGTATCTTAGTAGTAACACCACTAAGGTTATGTTGTGAACTTTGACTGCTGTTAGTTCAGTATTTTCAGATATTTGAGATAGTGTTTTAGATATTTGGTACACTAGTCAGTAGTCTCTTTTATTCAGGTTTAAACAAGCAAACAATGATTTTTTTGTATGTGTGTGTGTATATTTATATATACACACATACATATATCTCTTTATATATATAGAGAGAGAGAGAGTTAGTACAGGATGTGTCTGATAGAACACTTGCAGCACAGTGACCAATTACCTTTTACGATATGGCTCTATGAAGGTAAAATTGGCAGCTGTGTGTCTGATCTGGTTGACTGAGACTACACAACACCTCTCAGTACTGAACTTTATCTCTCATCATTTACCTTTTCAATCTATTGCATGGCCATCATTAGTTGATCATGAGAAGATCTTTGTGTAATAAGTAGATCATATTCTTCTCTGGCACCTTTAATTAGGTTACTCTAGAGTACCATGCAAATATTAATTTAAGATTGGATCACTTTAGTTTGCACATAACATCTGTGTTCACCAAATCAAATACTTGCATATACATAGCATGTGTTATTCATATGTATGTGTTCCAGAGATGTATGTCATACTGGCCTGAAAAGCATGACCAGAAAATTTTAAAAAACACCAAGGGAGAAAGGAGTTGCATTTTCATTTTTCCAAGGTGCTTACAAGATGGAAAAAGTTATTGCTAGCCCAGTGGCATCGAAAAGACAATAGTTAATAGCCATGGAAGAAGCATAGTTTCTGGTCCATTGTATTAAGCAGAACTATGTTCACCTTGAAATATATTCCTTGACCTTTTGAAACCTGTGATTTTTTTAGTGGAGTGCTTAGAAATGGCTGTTTTAAAAGAGGAAAACAAATCAGGGTGTTATAATTCAGTATTCTTTGTGTATGTAATAAATGTTAAGAACATGTATTCTTGTCATTTGGCAAAGCTTTTTATTATTACATAACATATCCACGAAACTAATGATTTCTTTTTTCAGGTACTGAAATCTTATACTGCCCTCCTGTGTCACTCCAATAATACTCTCCCCTAGAAATTGGCAATATTTCCTTCTTTGTCTTCTGTTTTCCTTTTCTTTTTAATAGTTCATAGATTGATTTCAAGAACAGAAGTGTAACTTCAGTCCTGGGTTAAAAGAAATGCCACAGAGCTTTTGCATGTGTTCCTGTTCTCCTTTGGACCCATTCCAAAATTGGATATATGGCAATGCTTGTTGTTAAACTGTTCTGTGTTGATGATGAGTCAAGTTGTGATTACCATTTTTCAAAGCGCTCATAATAATAACTATCAATCAACAGTTCTTAACTCAGCATAAGAGACTGTCTGTAATCTAATGGGTAGATGTCTTACAGAAAGCCAGGTTTATGTGTTCAGGGAAAAAATGTGTACCAGAGATGTATGTCATACTGTCCTGAAAAGCATGACCAGAAAACTTTAAAAAGCACCAAGGGAGAAAGGAGTTATATTATTTATTTGTTTTCCTGGGAAACAGAACTCTGATACTGCAGTATGAGAGCTATTTTTTGGTAGGGCTTCTAATTAAGGTTGACAAATTCTTCCCTTTATGGAACGTGCTTAGAGCTTTGAACTGCAGTTGTGTTGACCAAAACTCTTTTGGCTCCAAAAAGAAAAATAAATTAGAAAAATATTTTAAATTTGATAGAACTCTTTATAAAATGTTTTTCTCTGAATAGCTCTACTGTTCTGATCAAAAAATTGAACAGGGAAGAAACAGTTGTGTAACCACAGTTGTGTACCTTTCTGCCTTGATGGAACTCTCTAAGATTTTCTAGAATTAACACTGATATCTGAAGATGACACTGTCCCTGACCATGTCAGTCTTCCCAGAGATCCTCATGTTTACTAGATGTTTTGTTTTAGCTTAGGAAATCCTGCTGGTAGCTTTCTCGGGCAAAAAAATACATTCAATTAAGGAGAAAATTAAGACAACTTTTTTTTTGGTAACTTGTTCTGGGGGTGCAGGGGAGCTGAATAGGCGAGCCGAGAGTACAGAGACACTCACTCTCCCCTCCGTTTTCTTGGTGACCTTTCTGATGATGTGTGTAGTGTGAGTAAGAGTGCACTGATTTGAATGAAAACTGAGCAAAAGAGAAAATGAATCTGATAAGGCAAAAATGGGGAGGTGTGTTTTAGACAACAAGGCTGACACAGCGTGAGGTGGAGAGATGGGGAAGTTGAATAAGGGCCTGGAGGGAGAAATGTATTAAACAAGAGGGCAGGAACTACTAATATGAGAAGGAGGAGGAGTTAGAGCCTGGAAGTGAATACTCGTGGATGGTAGGGCAGGTTCAAGTAGCCAGGAGAAAGTTGAAACAAATTCAGTTAGAATCATTAAGATTGCAAAGTGAAGCATTCAGGTCATACTAGTGCTCCGTGAAGAGCACCAGTGAAAGAAAGTGAAGAAAGGTTGCTTATCTATTGCCTTGTGCATCGGGTTTATGATATTGTCTTTAATTGCATGCTCACATATATATTTTCCAGCAGACTCATTCTTTCAGTGCTCAGCCTGAAACTGCCCATTGCTTGATTGGGGGTGGGGACGGGACAAAATAATGACTGCTTATTAAATTGGCACAGTCTGTTCTGTGTAATTTAATTTTATTCTGGTTTGCACACCTTCAAAGGGGCAAGCATTCTTTCTGGCACAGGTACATCTTTACAGTTTAAAAAAATGTAACACGTGATACTGCCCTCAACTATCGTGATGGAAATCTCTCATGTTTGTGTATCGTTAAGATGTTCGTAAGCAGTAAATTCCTTTCTGTTTTATAGCTACGCAAAACTAATGCCTAACTAACTATAACACGGTGCCTTGGAAGCTGATAAAACTGGAGTTGTTTGGACTGTGTTTGACTAGAACAAGATGCAGTGTTGAAGCAGCTGTCAGAGAAACTATTTTCTGTCCCTCTCTGGGCCACATGGATGGTTTCCAGCTAGAACCTTTGGCTTATTTCTGACTTGGGTGAAGGTGCAACCTTTCAAATAAGAACTGAAGATATTGTAGATATTTACTTACTCAGACTGATTTAATAGAGCATGTGTTTAAAGGCTCCAATTGCCTCGTTATTCAGGAAATCTGTTTTTGCACATTTTACTAACTTTCGTTTTTTTCCTGAAACCATGTCCGCAGCTTTTATGAGTAAGTTTTGAGGTAGTAGTGGTAGGTATGATTCAACAGTAGATTCCTCACACTTGGATCTAGAATGGAAAAAAATATATTCCACTGATTTGTTTTAATTTTTCTATTTATTTTTAAGCTACGTTTTACTTAGATTTCTGTAGTGGTGGCATTAACGTGTTATGTACAAGTGTTGTGAGGTGAGCCAGTGATCAGTGCCAAAATTTACTGCTGAGTCTGTGGAAGAATAAGATGATTCTTAGAAATTATCTTAAAGGACCAAAGTATGTAAGCTCAGTTAGAACAAATGGCATAGCATATGAGAAACCTTGACTGAACTTTTTTTAACTGTACATAGACATCATGGTTTCAATTTTAACCAGACTTCTATTTGACTTTTTGATACTGCTGTCTTCTAAAATGCAGTAGCTTCTTGAATTTAGCAATGTTCTAATTATCATGGAAAAGTAATTGTACTTCTTACAGAGATATTTTGATGCAATTTATTAATAAAATGCTCTAGAAGATGTCTCTTATTTGTTTCTGTAATTATTTAGGTTGATTTTAAATGCTTATCATAACTCTCCTTGGGACCTGACAAGGTCATAGAATACATAAACCAAAAAAGCAGTCTTAAACTTAACCATGTGAGCTGCATCTGTGCTACAGCCATAATTATACATTGGTTGGTACAGACCTTTCAAAGGCTATATTCAAGCTGAAATAAACTTTAGACTGGCTTGTTTTGAAATAAACTATGTACCAAGGGGAGAGTTACCAAATCACAGTAAAAGTGTCCTAAATGAGGATAAACCTATGAAAATTTGTTAGACAAAACAGTGGTGTTCTATTCGTTAATAACACTCTTCCAGTAACTAATGTGATTAAATGGCTATCTCTCTCTCTTTCAGTGTAGAGATTGGTGAAAGTGTGAGAGGAGAAGATGTATATATCATCCAGAGTGGCTGTGGAGAAATAAATGACAACTTAATGGAATTACTCATCATGATCAATGCTTGCAAGATTGCATCATCCTCCAGAGTGACTGCAGTAATTCCATGTTTTCCATATGCCAGGCAAGATAAGAAAGACAAGGTAGGTAAGATGCTTTTTATAATAAAAACCTTATGTTTTAAATTTGTTTCAGCTTGTTCCCTTGAAGTTCCTGGAGATAAAGCATGTTTTCATAAACATTTAAAAGAGAATTAAGTTTTTCTTATATATTTATTTCTTTAAGTTTAAATGTTGAACTACATCATCTCTAAGTGAATAGAGACGACAAATGATTTTTCATGTATTTTGATTTTTGTAAGTAGGTTCATGTTGAGTGTGGTATATTTCAGAGTACTTGCTAGCAAACCTAACTTTGTGGAACTCTTTCTTGCTTTTGCCAACTTGATTTTTTTTTTTTTCCCCCTGTATACACAGGAGAATACACCTGTTCTACCATTTTTGATTAGTGCAATTGCACTGAATTAAATCCTTATACTGACATTTTATTTAATAAATCTTGAATATTGCTACTTCACCTATGAGAAGGGCTTAATAGAAGTAAAGGGCAGGAGTTGCCTGGGACAGTTTGAAGTGCTAGAACTATTATGCAGATGACTTTTACCCTATATGTTAAAGCTGAGAGCCAAATGGAAAGAGCTGATTAGATCTGCAATATGTTAACAGTAATGAATGAATACATTATTCCATTCTGTAGGACAGATTCTAAAAAAGTACATTTGGAGTAATCTATTTGTATTGATGCAGACCAAAAACTGTAGAAGGGGAAAAAAAGAGAGGAGAGAAAACAAACAACAACAAAAACAGAACACTTTTGTCTTTTTAGTACTCTCTCTCTAAATTTGGGCTGCTATAGATGATAAATGGAACAGTTCTGCTGAACTGATAGCACAGTAACAACTCCTCATTGGCAAGTGAGTCAGAAAATTTTAGTTCTGTATTTTTTAAAATCAGTCTCTACTGTGTGTGTGTGTGTGTATATATATATATATGCAGAAGCCTTATGTTACACAAGTGTTACTTTTGCCAAAGCTCACTGGAAAATGACTGACAAGAACAGATGTGAAATATGGCTTTTAATATCAGATTACAATGGTTATCTTCTTGGAAATTGCCCCCCTCCAGTACTTCCCATAAATTGACTGCCCTCTCTCCCTTGCACTTTGAGCATTGAGCAAACCATCCTCAAAGCCTTGCGAGTTTTCAGTTGTTTTTTTTTCCCCTCTCATTCTTTCATATAAAATATAACAGAATTGATAAGGGATGTAGAATCTAAAAATAATAGAAGACACCTAGAAAATACACTATTACCAGCATGTGATCGAGGAGAGCAAAACTGAATACACCAAAGTGTTTCTTTCAAGGAGTGTAGCCTCCACAAGACAATATTATTGCGACCCTCTGCTTATTATACTTTCAAAAACTCAATTCAAGAGTTAAATAGTAGCTCCCTATCCTTTGCCTACATCTTCTGGAACTTCAGTTTGCTGTGTTTCTGTATTGAACAAGAAATCTCCCTTTCTTGCCTAGAGAGCTGAAAAAGGTTTTATCGAAAGAGTTTGAAAAGGGAGCAATAAACATTTTGGTGAGATGCTAAGGAAAGCATCTTGCTTCTGAAGATGTTTTGATTTCCAAAATCATATTTGAAGATTCTGCTCGACCATAATATAAGTTCTTAGTGTGGGAAAAGGATGAGTATGTCCCAGGTTTACTGTGCATCTAGGGAATGCCTTATCAAGTGCACCAAAAATCAAATGGTAGACTTCCAAGAGACACTTGAAACCTAGAGGACTGTGGCCCAGCATGCTGCCCAGGAGCATTTGTGTCTTTTGGATATGCCATCTGAAGGTGGATAGCACAGGAAAGTAACTAAGACACTGATTTAGACTTCAAGCTTTGGTCCAGACCTTTCTTTGGGTGCTGCTGTGTTCTGCAATTCTAGGCAAGCCCTTTCAATTTTTTAACCTCTGTTTTGCAATTGAGAAAATGTTTACCATCTTTGGAAACTAACCTTGGTAGTTGACCTCCATGTTGTAAAATAAACTGTTGTAATATAGCTGTTGACATTGGGCAGCTCATTGACTGGGAGATTCTTCTTCTCGCTGTTTGATTGCATCACACCATTTGGTCTTCGACCCCTATTGAATGCCTAAGATTTTTTGCTGCCTGAAATGTCAGAAAAGTGTCAGCCATTTTCTTACTGTGAATGTATGCAGATTTTCTTTCTGCTGAAAGATCTTGCTGCAGTTTCTCAAGTATGAAGTGAAGCAGCATAATCTGCTCTTTTTTAGTTTAAGTTATTGACTTTCAGTCCATTTAGTTCTTTATAGATGTGTCCTTGCTGCTGGAGGTGTCACCTTATTCATGCCTCTGTTGCAGTAATGATCACTGAAAACAGTGAAAGTGTTCTTGACTTAACGAAAAGGGCTTCCAGTAAAACACTTTATTCTGAGTAAGTTCTATATAATCTACTCTGGACGTTTTTAATATTAAACCTAGATGAGCTTTAAATGAGTTAGCTTTGGATATTAGTAACAGGTACAGCAGGACAATATAGAAATTCATGCAAGCTGTTCTCCCAGTTATAAAGGCGGAAAAAAAAAAAAAAACCCAGAAAAAAAAACCAACCTTGCCAAGAATCCTAGAAAAGCTTGTAAATTGACTTGGGCATAATCAAGTGTTGTCATAAGGTAGAATACTTCTGATACACAGCTAGCTAATTTAAAATTAGCTCGAGTATCTGTGCTTTGGCTGTATTTGCAAGTTTATGCATCCTCTAATTATGTTTACCTTCAAAGCCTTGGGCAAGATACGTTTATGTAGGATGCTGTAGAGATGCCTTTGAGATAAGTTAGAAGTATAGTGACAGGTGAGGTTTGGTGTTCCACAGCTTATGTAACTTTGTTTTTTTGATTTGTAGAAGGGGGCCGTGGAGCGTTGGGTAGGTATCTTTTTTTAATTTATTTTTTTTTTAATCTGACAGTAAGCATTTCCATTAAGATGGCCTTAAAGGGTGAGACTTACTGGGTCGCATCATATATAACTGGGAACACTTTCAGTTTCACTTCTAGATTTCAGTTGTTTTTCACTTAGACCATGACAGTAATCCTGTGGAATAATTTTCTATTAGAAAACTCCTTGATTTTAGTTGAAAATTTATTTGGACATTCAAGATAATGGCTGTCAATTTCTGAGGCTTCAAAGCATACTTCATTTTCAAAACGATGAATTTTAGGTAATAAATTAGTGAATATTCACAATCAATGCACTTCACGACTGGCTTTCTTGGAAGTGAAAGTTCTAGTCAAATATTTGACTTGGATTTTTTTTGGTTCAGTATGCACATGATGCATTTTGAGCAAAACAATGTAATAAGATGCTTAAAGGCAACAGAGCTTCAATCTTGGTGGACATTCCCACCTTTTGCTTTCAGCTATGTATCCTTTGCATAGTTGTTCTTATAAGGTTATTTTTATTAGCTCTGTGGATTCCTTCCCTGCCCCTGGTAATTTTAAGAATTGCTAATAACTTTGTAACACATCATAAAAGAAGAAATCTTTTACATAAATGTTGCTATAAGTGAGCAGGGAATATGCTTAGGAACGAAAAACCTCAGTGATTGCTTCAGTTTCGTTTCTGTACATAATCTAATGTTGTATTTCACACTAATAATTCTGAATAATCTCAAATTGTGTCGAATGGAACAATGAATATACTGAATCTTCTTGCATTCTTGCCTCTCTGATAAGCAAATATCACAAAATCAAAGAACCTTCAGTTCTCGTCTACCTGTGTCATCCGAGTTTCTCAATTTGAGGCCACGTTTTTGAGGTTTTCTTGAAGTTTATTTTAAAAATCACTTGGATTATGTTGTAGCACAAAACTTTTCTCACTTTCTTTGTAAGCAATCAAATCTTAAATCTTTTTGAATATGTGATGTAGTGTGTGATTATTTTAATGCACAGTTTTGTGTAGAGGAAACTCAGATAGCTGAAAACTTCATTTGTCTTAATCTCCTATTGGCCCATTCTTGAGAAACAGGTATTGGTGTTTGGCTATCTTTGCTTCCAAGACCCTCTGTCCACCAGCATGTAGGCAATCTGTGATGTGCATGTCTGCTAAAACAAGTTACCTAGTGGTAAAACCTCCAAGTTTTTCCTTCTGGGAAGTCAGCCTGCAAGGCCAGCAGCTGAAAGAAGTATCAACTGGTAATGTATACATTATTACTTGATGCAGGAAAGTGTTTTTTTGTAACAGTAATACTGGTTATATGGATGCATCAGACAAGCTAACAGCTATTTTTGTTGAACAGAAATGGGGGGAAAAAAAGAATGAAATTCAGTAGGCCAGAAGGAGCGAGAGTAGCAAACCACATTCTGGGAAGAAGCTAATTTGCCGTGACAGCTAGGCTGAACTTATTACTGCTTTCTATCAGAAGAGGTTGTCCTGGTTAGCAGTCATCTTTCCCTCCCTCTTCCATTTTGGCTTCCTGAGCTCATTTTTGACTTCCTCAGCTGGCTGCTATGGATTCAGACAGGTATCAGTGTGCAGCTCAAGAGAAGTGGTGGAAGTATATAGACTGGAGGCAAGGGATGGGACAAGAAGGTGAGCGAACCTCTGCTTTCAGTAGCATTTGTTAGTCTAGCTTAACCAATATCAAATTAGGTCTTCACAAACTGCTAATGAAAGAACATGATGGTAAAGTCAAAAGATGAGAAACTAAATCTTTGTTTTGCTGGATGTTACCAGAGACTTGAATATCTTGAAGCCCAGCTCAGTCCAGTTTGAACTACTGAAATGACCTGAAGTGACCAAGATGTTGAATAGGACAAATCACAAGTTTACTAATAAGAACAGACGTGTCTGGACAGCTTTAGCTCACTGAGACCTTACAGAAATGAACTTAAATGGGGACCAGTGTAGTCCTCGGTGGCTATCCCTGATGAGGCTGTAGGGATGGGAAAATCTTACAGAAGCTCTCTGCATGTGAATTGGGAGATCTGGGTAATTGCAAACTGCTGTATACATCTTCAGTGTATCTTACACAGACCAAATGTGAGAGATTGTGTGCAGAACGCACACATACACGTGTGCACATGCACACACATGTGTGTGTGCAAGTCTTCTAACTGAAGGGTTTTTAATGATAAAAATTTCTTCAAGGAAATAAACTGAGATATTACAGTCTTTACAGCATGGAGAATGTTGGTAATTCACAGGTTAAAACAGGGAAAGGTCGAGTTTCCACCTAAATCAACATTTGAGGGGAATATATCTGGTGTAGCCAGGTGCCAGTATAGCGTCCAGGTTAAGTTAGCAATGGTTCAGCTTACTGTAGATTTTCCCCTTGAGACACCTTGGTAAAAATTGTGAGGTATTTTGTAAAAAAAGTGGAGGAGTTTCTAGAAGGCTAAATTAAGCTCTCTGATAAATCTAGGAGTAGAGAATACCTTGCTAGCAAAAACATAACCTGACAGTGATATGGAACCTCTGAATTAGTTTTGCTTCTGTGTTAAGAGTAGTGCTAGTTGTTAGTCATTTTTAATGGTTCGGTTAAAAAAAAAAAAAGTGAAAATTTAGTTTAGTGTGCCCATTACAGACAAAGCTGTTGAGGGTAACATAGCTTTTTTACAAAGCTGCAGAGTCTCAAAGGACTTTACAGTTGTTCAGAAAAACCATAAGCTGTCCTCCAGTCATGATTTCCTCATTTTTATGTTGCTGTTCATTTTGCATCTTTGTCAGATTAAAAAAGCTCTTGACATTGCCATAAACTCTGCTAATTAGTCTTTCACTCTTCCTCTGCCCCTTCCACTTTACTGTTTCTCACATTCCCGTTCTGTCCCTCCCCTCCTCAGGAAGTGTAGACTCCTAATTACATCTGACAATGCAGTCCTAATTGGCAAAAAGAATAGTCTTCTACCCCTGCCTAGATGGATCTGTTACAAGTTTTACTGTATCATGAAGAAATGCTTGATATTAATTTTGTTTTAAGCAGTATTTTTTAAAAAGTTAAGTTCACTCTGCCTTCCTTTGTATTTGGCAACTATCCTATTCTAAAAAAAACATTGCCTGAGAATCAGGTAATCTATGGAGAATGGGTTAGAGAAATGGAGACTGTCTGTCCTTGCTATAGGAGAGCTAGCTAAAAGTTCAAAATAAAGAATTGGAAAATTAGATCCTCAATTTTCCCTGCTTGTTGGTCAGGTTACTACAAGGCATTATTAGCCAGGCTGTGCAAGCTGATCAGATGCTCCAAACTGTTTTGCTGAGTTTCAAAACCTAGTAGCAAGACTTGCTATTGATAGGCTATTTTGGTTAAAGTTTTTGGAGCTCTTCGCATCTAAATTGCAGATATGCTAAAGGAAGATAAGTAAACATAGCAAATATTCTGAATCCTTGTATCTAGTCAATCTTTTTAAATTTTAAACATTTGTGCTTTATTCCTCAGAGTCGTGCTCCAATCTCTGCAAAACTTGTTGCCAATATGCTGTCAGTTGCGGGAGCTGACCATATCATCACTATGGACTTGCATGCTTCTCAAATACAGGTAATTATAAGTTCTTACTGACTGTGGGTAGAAGTTTTATTGAATTAATATGAAAGGCTAATACTAATTCTGTGGTTTTTTCCTCATTGTTCAGAAGTGTAATTCTCAGGGTTTAGAGAAAGCTTTGATTTGCCTCACTGCTGGTTTCTAATTAAATTCTCTTTTGAAAGAGATCAGCCTTGATCTCACAGGGTGATTTTTTGCAGGCAATTTAGACAGTTCTGAGCATTTCCCCTGTATCCCTGCCCCACACCCCCAGTGAAATTTGCCAAACTCAAATGTATTAGAGGTCCAGGAACACACAACATGCCCTCTGGGGGAGGAAGCTCTCTTTAATTTTGGCCTGGTCAGTGATTGTCCTTGATTGTTCCCTCGGCTGCACCAGTGAAACTGTATATTCTCAAAAGAAGTGGAAATGGAAGCTGGAAACCCTTAACTGGGTTCGCTGATGAATCCAACAAATCAGAATAGACATTGGTTGTGGTTCTTGCTTGCACCTCTTTCAAGATACCTTGCTTTTTCTAGAAAATACCTTCTCTTCCAGTTCTGGCATTCTGTTTAGTCAAAGTTTTGAGTTATGCTAGATTGTTCTCATCTGCATAAAAAGCAGTTTCATTTGTGGTCACAGGTTTCTTCTCATTACAACTTGCACAAAGAGGAGAAAGATTCCATTCTGCTACTCAAGTAATGCTAGCTTGAGTCTGCCCCAGTTTGAAATACTTGTGTTCATGTCAAGCAGTTAGTCCTAAGAATTAAAATTTATGGAAGTTAAGTAATTTTTGTGAGACTTTTTCACAAGCATGAATTTACTTAGGTGCCTGAGCCTGGTCCTTTTTTTGGTTTCATATAGTGAGAACAGTTGTTCCTCATTTCACTACTTTGGGTAAGATTTTTAGAGACCTTAGTATTTGTCCAACTCTGCTTCCACTGAATTTGATGGAAATAGTGGAGGGTAGAATGAGGCCAGTGTAGAATGCTAATTAATGTCCTACCCTACATGAGAGGCAAAGGCTTGGCTCTTTTCCTAATGTCTTCCAAGTAAAAAATAAATGTTATTTATGAAACTATCTTTCTCTTTTTGACTAGGGTTTCTTTGACATTCCAGTAGATAACCTATATGCAGAACCTGCAGTGCTGCAATGGATAAAAGAGAACATTATGGAGTGGAGAAACTGTATCATAGTCTCGCCTGATGCAGGTGGTGCAAAAAGGTACTATTCAAGCCATTAGTTCTGCATATAGGTCGTGGTCAGTGAACTAACTTGGGGTATGCTTTCTCCCCTTGGCTTCCTCCATCCCCTTGAATTGTATGAGATACAGGGCACATCATTGTCAGCTGCATTGTGAAAAAACAGCATAACTAGTTCTTCTAAATGTTGTTCATGCTTCAAAACATCCAGGAACTTTCTGTACTCTAAAGAAAATGTTTTTTTTTCGCTCCCTGGATATGGCCTCATTAGCTGAATCCCTCCATGGGGGGAAAGTTTTTTTCCTGCTGCTTGCTTCTTTAGTCTGGTTTCTGCGCCTCTTCCTGCTTCACTCTGGAACTGCCTAAGTTTCCTTTCTCTGTTAAAGCATATGGCCTGTCCTCACTGCACCTGCTAGCATTAGGTAAGACCTTGCTTGAGTTATGCTTCTTTTTTCTTTAAGTTACTGCATTCTAGTTGTAAACCTATTGACTCAAGTTATGTACTATGAATATTAGAAAAAAGAGAATGAAGCTTTGCTTTGAGTGGCAAAAGGTAAAAGTAGGAAACTGTTCACTGTGGTGATTCTCTATTCACAGCATGTGTTACTTGCTTAGGAGACCATCTTTTATTTGGTACCTACAGAGTATGAACTAATGCAGAAGTTCAGGAGCACACAGTGAAGTAATAAAGCATGCCACTGAGGTGAAACACTCATTCCCAAGTTATCGGTCATTCTGCTGTTAGAAACTGAGTGGGAACAAAGATAAATGAAGCAAGAAGCCTGTAAGCCCATAGTAGTTCAAATATTTGGAATGTAGCATGAGGAAAACAGTGAAAGATTACTGTAATATGATGGACCCAAAGACTTTGATTAAAGTAATGAGTCTTTAGTTTAAAAACTGGCAGGGAAATAAGACTGATCAGGATTCCAGAGTTGTTCCTGTTTAGATTACTGGAGGTAAAGATGTGAAGAATGGAAACTAGAAGGCATTCTAAAATTGAGATGACTCAGTCCATTAAATTTTTTTCATTCTTATCTAGTTCTTGTCTGTGTTCTTTTTTCCTTCAAAGTACAGTCTTTGTTTCGAATCCAAGTTGGGATACAGGGGTTTTGTTTGTTTGGGGTTTTGGGGTGGGGGGGAAGTGAAGTGGGGGTTCCTCTCCTGTAACAAATATTTCTGTATTGGAGATCAGTCATGAGAGTTTATTTCTGAGGACCACTCTCATTCTGTTTAGTATGGATAGAATCTGTCCTGATACTTTTCCGTTTTAACGCACTCAAGCATTTGCTGTTGAAGTAAGAGAAGGTTGCTTACTATAAATTTACAACTTCTCCTTAGCCTCCAGTAATATAATGTAAAGATGGTTTTTGGCTTGTTCATTTAAAACATGTAGACCTTCAAAATAGTACTTGGGTTAATGAAAAGTGAATAGAATGTCTTAAAAATAAATCGGGAAGTATTAAATAATGTATGTGTGTGTATGTTTTGATTGCTCAATATTTTAAACACCTGAATACTTTTCTGTTTCTTATCATTTGATGGTTCCAGCTCATTAAATTTTGTGACTGAGGGTAAGGCATGCAAGTTCTATCGATATCTTAATGCCTCTGAGGTACTGCCTTTTGCTTTGAAAGTATACTGTTGTGCACAAAAATGTTCATCACCCTGGTTTTGGAAAGCTGTAGCAAACAAATACTTCATACTTAAGTGTTAAAGAAACTGAACCTTATGCTCTATTAAATGTGGATGTTAACCTTGTTAAGAGCATTCTAAAAATACTCTACAAAGGACAGACTTCAAGACTGTGCCAGCATGGACAAAGCATAGTAGTATTTATTTCTATGAATATGCCTGGCAGCTCTATTATATTTTAAAAAATCTGAATAAAGCAATCCTAATTAGAAGTCCATAGCAAGTTAACCTTGTTAGCTGAGTTCAGTCTGGCCACCAGAGGTCATCCTGAGGACTACTTTAAAAAAAAACAAACAAAAAAAACACACTTTGCCAATCAAAAACATTGCTAAGAGAACTACTTAAGTAAACTACTTGATTACTAAAGAAATGTTGCTATAAGAGTTATTAATCACTACTAACTTGTTTGTTTTTCCCATTGTTCTAGTTTTCACATTCCTGGCAACAGTATTTTCAGTTAGGATTTTAAAGTATGTGCTGTTGTATGCTTAGAACTGAGCCTGTGTCTCTTTTAAACTATCTAGTGTGACTAGGTTTTGCAGCAGTACAATAAAAGCTTGTGAACAGCTGAAATGTCTTGTGTGTATGTTCCCCATGTCAGTAAGAGTCCAACAAATCTTAGGTGACCTGCATGCATTTTTCCTGAGCTACTAGTAGCACTGTAGCTACCTTCAAGATGACTTTAAAAGCTATATTTAAAATTTTTGTTAAACAATTTAATTTTGAATTAACTATTCTATCTAATGCAGTAGCTCTCACAACTGAACAGTATTCTTTAATTTTCCCCATGCCCCATCCTTCTCCTGAGTTCTTCCATAGCAGTCCTAATGGGAAAGCCTTTCTTTGAAGAATGAGGCATTAAATCTCCACATATTTTCAGACAGCAGCTTTTCTTCTGCTAGCAGTGACCCTCCTCTACACAGGTATCCAGAATTTCTGTTTATAGTGTAGGTGCTGAGGTTAAGCAACTGGGCCTGTAATTCTCCTACCCTCTATCCTGAAGAGGGAGAGACTGATACTAGAAGGACCAGAATCTACAGCAGTAGGCTCTAAGCACCTACCTAATTGTCTAATTATATTAGAGATGAGCTGTCTCTGACTTATAGTAGATTTCTACTTCAGAAACTAGTTCTACTTTACTTTGTAGTATATTTCTGCTTCAGTATATCCGTTTTATAAAAAGCAGATTATATGTACAGAACTATTTTTCATGAAGTTATCGGAACAATGCAGCTGAACTCCTCTTTGGGTTGGATGAAGAAAAGTAACAAGTGCTTCAGAGTTGGTTTTTCACGTAGTTTAACAGTCTTGTGCTGTAAAATGAACCTCTCACCCTGAGAAACAGTGTATAGGTCCTCTCTCCTCCAGCCAGTGACCAACACTGGTGGATTACTGCTTCTATGAAATGTCCTAAACACAGTAACTTAGTTATATGATTAATTGTATTTGCCTAATGACCTTTTCAAAGACAGGAGTTTAATGCTGGAAAAATGAAGTCAATTTAAAAAAAATCTATTTCTGGAGTATTGGTTAAGACACTGTGGTTGTATTTATTAACAAAGAATTTCTGCCCTATCTCATTTCTTGCAAACGTTTGTACTACAGTGATTTTTTTAGTAAACAAACACACGGTTTTATGACAAATGGTCAAGTAGGTTGCTTTCTTTTAAAATAGGTTTCTGAATGTGTTTTATTTCTTCCTCAAACTTAGGGTTACTTCAATTGCTGACAGACTGAATGTGGAATTTGCTCTCATTCATAAGGAACGGAAGAAAGCAAATGAAGTAGACAGAATGGTCTTAGTTGGTGATGTGAAAGACAGAGTAGCTATTCTTGTTGATGATATGGCTGACACATGTGGCACAATATGTCATGCAGCAGACAAGTAAGTATTAAGAACTAGCCCAATATCTCCTTGTAACATGACCTGCAGATAGCAGATGAACTCAGCTGCTCTGTCTGCATGCTTATAAGTCAACCTGATCTCTGTAGGCTGAAGTCACTCTGATTCTTCACTCTATAGGTCAGTCTTGCGGTCAGACTGTTCTTTAGAATGTGGAAGTGAAAATATTTCAGAAATATATAATCTGTATTTAGAAGGAAGAGAGAGTAAGAACAGACTCATCGAACTTGGAAGGGATTTGGGGACCATCTAATGTGTCTTCCATTTCCAAAGCAGAAATGACAGATCATTCTGCTCTTAAACCTTGTTACGGAGCTTTTCTACTCCTTTGGCAATCTTTTGCAGAGCTTTGCTAGATTCACCATTAGAAAGTTCTTCTCCTCAGTGTTTAATGCATGTTTAATCTTAGTCTTTAATATAAATCCTCAGTATAAAACTACTTGTCCTCTTTGTCCAGGACACTGAAAATAAGTTGTGGTTTTTATCCTCTTTTGTCTAGAATGTAGTTGAAGACCGTTTTCATCCCCCTCTAGGCTAAACTACTTCAGTTGCTCAGTCTTTCCACATGGTTTCTAGACTTCTGCTCTGCTCTTGATGCCCTCTGAACTCTCTTCAGTTTGTCCGTTTACTTCTTGAAGCGCAGCATGTGAAAGTAGGCCCAATATCCTGACTGAGGCCCTGACATTGCTGAGTAGAAAGGATTAATCTGGGCGGGAGGGAAGTGTTTCAGCCTGTCCTTATGCTTGTACACTTCAGGGTGGTGGCAATTCCCCCCTCCCCGCCACCGAGATTGATGGTGTTGACTGCTCTGAACTTTGTTAATATTTATACCCTTTTCTAAAAATTGCTAGGCAGGAGTCCCTAGTCTGTGTAAATTCAAATAATTAATTCTTCCTGTTGCTGTAGCTTCACAACTGAAAATGGATGGCAGCAATTCTAGCTTCAAAAATCATTTTGACGAATTGGAGAAATGGACTGATACTTGTTAAGAACAAATGTGAGATATTACGCTTGAGCAATATTGGATTGAAGTGCTTCTGCCCTTCCACTCATATCCGAATGTATGCTGTCAGCTCTGTTTTGGAAGGTCAAGGGCTTCAGTCTAAACTTGATTGGAGACCTGAGGTTTAGTTTTCCAATCCAAAGTTGATTTTCAGATCTTGTGTTATGATCTGGTTTACAGCAAAGCCTCCCCAAATGGTTGTGCCTGCTGCACAATAGAAGTGGAAACAAACTTCTGGGGAACAAGGCACTGGAATGTCTTAAACAGATCTTGTTGCTGAACGCTTACTACAATACTGTTACTTCTGCACTTAATCCTTTCTAAAGTTTATATCTCTGAGGAGAGATCACTTTGAATTTATATTCTTGCCCAATATACTTGCAGACCATTTGAAAGTGCTGAATAGCATCAGATCCAATGTAAGTCCTCGTGATGCTTCCTGCCTAAACCTATTTCATGTTCTATTGAAGTAATAGGGTGATACTTGAGTGAGCTAGACATTACCACTGGTGGTCTGAAGTAAAGATCATCCTACAAGTTTACAGGATTTTAGTTGCAGGTTTGCTGTTTGCTTTTATATGATCAGGATGTGAAAAACCCAAGGTAGAAGAATTCATACAGTCTTGTTTCTTGAAGTTCTGCAATTAGATATTATGCAGTTGTTTACTGTCCATGTAGTAATCTGTATCAAACTTCAATGTGGGTCTATGTGTGCTCTGTGCCCTTTGCTGGTCAAAACTATAAATGGTCTAGCCAATGGTTTTTTGACACCTCTGTGCACAGAGGAAACTAACTGCTGTCAAAAAGGAGGCCTTTTTTCTGCTGTGAAATAAACATTTCTTTATGTACAGTAGATTTTTAAAGAGTAAATTCTAAAAGCATCAGAAAGCAGCAGTGTACCTGGAGCGTACGCTAGAAGATGCTTTTGCTTGGGCAATGCTGCCTGTTATTGTTCCTGTATTCTTGACATGAAGGTGTGCTTTTCACTAATGCCAAACCTAGGTGGGATGCAGTTTCTGCTAAATTAGACTTATCTAAATTACTTTTTAGGCCTCTCTTTACCCTAGCGACCTAAATGTGTGTCTAGCAGATAAGGTTAGATGTGTATTTCCAGATACTGCAGATAAACTTACTGAAGGCTTTTTTTCCCCACTAGTAGTACACTTGCACTGTAATAATGTACCCTCTTTGTAGGTTGCACACTATTACTAATTGTAGTGCAGAAAACAATTGGAATCCTTCAGTTCTAGTGATTCATTCAAAATGATGTGATATTTCTGTATTGTCTGTTTTCCTATCTTACTTTCTGTGGTGATCTAATAAAGTACGAGCTGTTGAAGGCTGCCTTTTGTCCTACTTCCAGTTGTAGGCTTGCATAGCCTTGAGGATCTGGAGGTAGAGAGACCAATCAAAACCAAATTAAGAGAATCTGACTTATTCACAAGTTGTTCTAGTTCTTTTATTTATACAGGTTTTTTTTGTGTGCTGCATCATATCACTGTCTGCTGAATTAGCAGCATGTCTTCCCCAGCCTTGCAGTAAGCTAGGCTTTTGATCATTAACTTTTTTTTTTGCCTCAAATCTCTATCCAGGCACAATTCACTCACATTTCAAAGAAAATAAAGGTGCACAGTAGTGGAGGCATAATAAAGTTGTGAATACTGTCATCTAACTTAATATTTTTGCCTGATAAAGATGAAAAGATGACACTAGAATTCAGTTGCATATTCTGATGTAGTCAAAAGTGCAGCATTTTAGTGTTGCTGCTACTGATTTTTATCCAACTTTCACAAATCTAGCAGTGAGTACTTTTGGTCAGAATTAGTAGCCATATAACCTCAAAGAAGCTTAAAAGCTCAGAGTTATTTTATAGATTTGTATCTTCCTGTAGCTTTCAGAAGGAATTTTGTGTTTAAAATGTATTTTGAGGAGATCTCTACTCAGCTTTGAGTTCCTTAGGTAACTCCATCTAGAACAGCGCATTTAAACATGGATCATGGTTTGCTTGCTTTGTGTTCTACAGGTTAGTGTCTGCTGGAGCCACTAAAGTTTATGCTATCCTCACTCATGGAATCTTTTCTGGTCCTGCTATTTCTCGGATTAATAATGCAGCATTTGAGGCTGTTGTGGTAACGAATACAATCCCCCAAGAAGAGAAAATGAAACACTGCCCCAAAATTCAGGTACTGTAGTGTTTTTTCGTCATCTGTTCAAACTCTAGATTTGGATATTATCATTCTCTGATGCTAAAATTTTGTGCCTTAAGTTGAAAATATTTGCAAACACATTGTGCCGCTAAGTTGTTTGTAGAACATACTGAAAAGTCATGCTGAAGAACTGTTTTAAGGAAGTTCAGTTAGTATGATAAAGTATTGAAAACAATATTTGATACTGCAGCAGATGGAATATGCCTGACAGTGAAAGAATGGCTTTAAAACCGGCTGTGATGCTTTTTTAAAATTTGATCAATATTCATCATACAGTATTTGTACATGGGAACTCACGCTAGTTACATTAAGGTCTCTGTGGCATCCACAGTAGACATCTTCATTGTATTTGAAAATACGCTAATGAAAATGCCCAAGACGATAATATGTTTCTAAAATCAAACTGAAAATACAAAACTGACTTATCTCAGTAGCTTTTACATGAGATTATTCTTGGAAGTCCTGTGTCCCTTTAGCAGTTTTTTCACTTGTGCAGCGGGGAGGAAAGTATAAAACAGTACTTTTTCTTTAATGTTACATTGAATTAAAACAAGTTAAAACTTATCTGATATTATGTTTGTGTTAAGTGGCGCTGCCATCTGATGGCTGGACTAAACTGTTTCTTTTGGCAACGTGGCCTGTGCTAGCAGTCCTCAGCATTAAGCCTGTACAGAAATTGGTTCCTGTTTTCTCATTCAATTTTCAGTCTGTACCATGTATTAATACAGTCCTCATGTTAGGCTTACATAATGTTTTAAAGTTATTCTCCTTTCTAGGAGAGGTAAGCTGGCAGAATAGTAAACTGAGTATGCAGTTCATATGCTTATAAACATGTGTTTATAAACTGAATTTTGTTATAGGATATCAAAACAATAAACTACAATCTCTTTTATTTCTTTCTTTCCTCTTAGGTTATTGACATTTCTATGATCCTGGCTGAGGCAATTCGAAGAACACACAACGGCGAATCTGTGTCTTACCTGTTCAGTCATGTTCCCTTATAACTGCAAGAGGCTATGTTGTATCTTTGCAAGGGCTGTGTTAACGAGCCCCATTTTTAACAGTGCATCTCAGCCACAGGAGATGAATATCTTTGTAGAAGCCCAGAGCTTAATTATTGTATTTGTTTCCTAATTACCATTTGTTCCTTGTAAATGGGCAGTAAATCTGCATCTTACAGAAGCCTTTATGAATTCCCTTGAGAGCTGGGGATCTTACCTGTTGCTAAGTTCTTCTGTGTGCTCATGCTCTCTTTCTACTAAATGGCTGCTTTAGATCCATTTTCTGTTCAGAATTACTAAACAGCTGTTTATAGAACTTAATGGAATTTATGCATATGAAATTGTTTTTCTGTGTTAAGCTAAATGCTATGGATTTAGTCATCTGGAATCTATTCATCTATCAGGCAAGCAGCTGTTGTTGGTTTTTTGCTTTTTTGTTTTTTTTCTTTAACTCCAATGAATGTTAATTTGTAAGCCCTAACAGAATTTAAACCTCATGTGAATTTTAAGGATCTGACACATCCGTAATATTACCTGTATTTCATAAACTTTGTGTTTTTTTCCACAAAGTATATATGTTACAAGTTTCCTTCTGTAAAGCTCTCAGTTGTTCATTATGTTATCATTTGGTTGGAATTTTTTGTGCAGATACTGTCTTCATCTAAAAGACTGTTGTTTCAATATTGTTGGGATTATTTATTAATTTCCTGTATTTCAATAATAAGGACCAATCATAAATCATAAGAGCAATTTGTTTTGCATGTAACTCTTCCTGTAATTTTTAGCATTCTGTGATTCTGATCATATGAATAATTTCATCAGTTGTCCTGCTAATATTGCAAAGCTTCACTGTGCATAGTCCAAACAGCAAATATAAATACACTTAATATATTTGTAAAAGGTGGTCTCTGCTCATATTTACTTGATTGAAAATGTGAGAAAATACTTTTCATTTTAACTGTATAGTTAATAGAACTTCAACTTTCTATTACAAACTACCACGGTACTTTGCTGTGTAGGCAGTGAGCTGTGGTAAACTAGCCAGTCTTGAATAGTTTAATGCTAGAGAATTAAAACCACTGGGAAAACAGCTTGTATGCTGAGGATCTTATGGTTAAGTACTGGTAAGTGCAGTCAATAATTGATTATGGAGGAAAAAACAATTTCTGTCACTGTGGTTTTTTTTTTTTAGGTCTTCAAATTCTTTTTATAGACTCTTCAGCCTTCCTGCTAGAAAGGAAGAGTTCAGTTGTGTTAAGATAAGTTTTCCCAAAGACCTAGGTGCAGGAAAACTATCTTTCCTCCTGAAATTACAGTTTTTAATAAAAGCATTTGCCATGCTTGAGAAATATTTCTTTACTGTGGAACCACACAGAATAGCCTTATTTCATCCTACCTTGCTTATTCTGGGATATATTTATCATGATACGCTGTTGTGTTATAAAATGGATTTTTCCATTCAATTTAAGCTGGTCTAATGTTCGTTAATTTCTCTGAGGGAAAAATGTGGCTACTTTGCCCTTATTTTTTTTAGTGATTTGCTATTTCTTTTATTGTTTTCTTCCTATATTGAAGATGAAGAAAACAATTTCACCTATACTTCTTTCTATAATGAATACAGAAATGGGTTGATAAGATATTGCAATCAGAATTCCATTCAGCCGTCAGTCCTCTGAGGAATTCCTCATTATAGTTCAATTTTTGAAATATTTAATTCCACTGTGTAATAATCTATGTTATTATCTGAATCAGAAAGCAATTTTTTAAATGTATGATTATTTAACCTACTGTCTTAAGCAGGTGTTTAAACTATTACTTTGCAGTTATATGGCTACAGTTTTGGGGTTAACAACTTAATTATACCATCAAAATTTAGACCTTATTATGCATATAGGGTATACAGTGAACTTAGTACCTGCTATTAATTCAGTTTTGTAGATCAGGTCTTTGTTACAAACAAAATGCTGAATTGTTTGACATTATTGTGCACAAGTATTGTAAATAAATCTTAAATTACATGTGCCAAGAGACTGCTTGTGTTTTTGTTCTTCTGTTGCTCTGTTTATCAAGACAATGGCCTGCCCAGTTCAAATAGGGAAGAATGTAGGCACTGATACTCATGCAAACCTTACTAATAAGTTGGTTCATTTTTTTACGTCCAGGACAGCTTGTACATGTTAATCCCACCCAGACTAGTACACATCTTTAAGATGATCATCCTCCTCCTTCTTTGTTGTCTGACCAAAATTACACAATGTTTAAATTTCATTGGGAATTTGAGTTAACACTTCATGAACAGTTGAAGCTCTTGCTTCTCAGTTTGTCGTAAGCAAAATGATTTGTCTGCATTTAAGAAGATCAGATGGGGGAAAGAACAGAAGTAACTTCATAAGTAAGCTTACTGTCTGTACTGCATTTTTGGACGCTTGAAATGCTTGTGAAGTTAGAGATGAAAATCCTATCAATCCGACAAAATTAGGAAAAAAGCAGCTTCTATGCCTTGTGTGCATAAAATTGAGGGGTGGTTTCTATGCTCCCTGACCCATTCTGGGGTTCCGATTTGAAGATTCCTTGACGGAGTTTGGACTTAATGGAAACTTTCTTATTTTGAATTAAAGGGGGGGGAAAAATACTGGATTGCATGTGCCCTGTGCCAAGAGGTACTAGTTCTTCAGAATTCTATAAGAAAGGCACGAGCTTTGTTTCATGAAAGACAACAATTTTATTAACATCTCAGGGCAGGAGATAGTGAGTTTTAAATTCTTATGTGCCTTCTGACACTGGAAACCCAAATTCATACAGCATCACAGACCTCTGCTCAGGCCACAGCACACAGTACAGATCCTATCCATGGTGAGGTTCATCAGTATTGTAGCCTTTAGAGGTTTTTATAGGATTTTCTAAGTAGTACTGTGACATGGATGGAAAATGTTGCTTCCTTTCAAGCTAAGGACATGCTGATGGTGTCATCACTGATGTCAAGGAGGTGCTGCCTCCGTGGTCTTCCACTACAATTAGCTGGCTAAGTTCACTCTATGTCAAGGGATATGTGCAGCATAGCACAGTCCTGAAGGTCCAGTGATATGCAGTACAGTACATGCCTGTGTCTACTCAGGTCAACTTATGTGGATCACTAACTCCTCCATGTAAAATAGTCTTCTTAAGACCACTGCAGCATGCCAGATATTAGGCAGAGATGAACTAAAACCCTACAAACCTGAATCTGACTAATCCTATTCTACTGCCATACAGGAAGTATAAATGTTTGACTTTCTACTGTGGAAGTACTTGAAGCTTGCTGCGTTGTTGAAAGGTTGTGTCATGGACTCCAGGGTTTTCAATGTCAAAAGCTCAGACCTTTTTCCTGAGGCAGGGTTGCTGTCTGCAGTAAAACCTGAGCATAGGTATAAGCTTACATTTTTCACTGCACAAGTCCCTCTCCAAACTGACAGTCACTCAATATACTATGAAACCTGATTCTCTGCACTGTACTGTATGTTGTCATGACTGACAAATGAGGTGTGGTTGTTGAATGTGGCTGGTTCTGACAGTCAATTACTTCTTACTCCAAGCCTGGATCATGCTGCTCTTAAAAGCTGAAGGAGGGAAAAGAGAATAAAAGATGACGGAGAGCAAGTAACAGAGCATGGGTGCTGCCTGTGTTATTTGCCCAAGCCAGATGTTGCACATGTATATGTGTGTGTGTGTGTGTGTATATATATGTACACACACATGTTGGCACAAAGGATGTTGAGACAGGTTTGCATGCACAAAGCTTTTACTTGTGGGTTAGCAGGTGGATGCATCTATTCTAATGGTTCGTTACTTCTGGGGACAAATGACAGAGAGAAAAGGGACAAACTCTCCCAAGTAGCAAGGTTTGGTTTGCAGGGTCAAGGCCCTGAGCATCACTACGTGAGGGGGAGGAAAAGCACTGCCCCAGAGGCTCTGGGAAACACTGCCACAGCACATTGCATGGATGGTACTGACCTGCCAGGGGAAGGAAGGCTGCAGAATTGCAGGTGAAAGGCCTTCAGCATTACGTAGGTTAAGGCACTTAAAGCCCTGGACAACTACGTGTGTATACATTCATATGCATGTATAATATATATGAAGGGAGAAAAGAAATCAATCTATATCAATTGCAGTCTATGAAATCAGTTGGGATCAAAATACCCTCTGCTGAGTAGTAGCCCTCTCCCCATAGAAAATTAATGTGCAATATTTTAAAAGGCAGTAGTAAGCCCTATAATAAAAGAGACAATTTTATTTCATGGTCTCTGAAAACCCATAAAGAAACACATTGCATGTTTAACGTGAGCATCGTAACTGTTCCTTGCCTGCCCTAGTCTTGAACCATTATTTTGTATGGAGCTACTTCCTTGCTATGTTAGTGTGTTGAGTTCATCAGTGTCACTATTCCACTTCATTCTGCAAAGATTAACCCCGTGGTCCTTCAGTGCTCTTACCTGAGAATAACCTCATAAGCCATGGCAGGATTATTTATATGAAACTCCTCAAATCATGATGGTCCTGCACAGTAGTCATTGCATTAATAAGAAATTGGGCTTTAGGTTATCTAAGTCATAAATGCCAATTCTCCTCCAAACCTGTCAGTTGTGTGATTTGCCAGCACTTCCAGCCTTAGTGTTCATCAGCACTTCTAGCATCAGTGCTTTAGCATTTCTACCCACCCCTCAAGGTAGCTTAAGGCTACCCTATCTCATGACCCCTTAGGGAGGGGGCAATTGCAAAAAGGAAGATTTTCATTACTAAGCCTGGAGAGCTTGGAAACTAACTGCATTTTATTTCAGACATTTCTGAATGCCTACTGCCTTGAAGGTAACTTGCTGTCAAGGCACCAGCCTTTGCTGTCAGCAAATGGCTAATTGATTGGTAAATACCAAAAGATTAATCTTGGCATTGGGGTAGCTTGGGGTAATTATTTTTCAAAAACTGGGAACATCTATTTCTGTGCTGGTAGGATGCTACTGCACTGGACAGTTTGGCAAGCTCTTAGCGTAGATCTGGGAGCATCACCTCCCTCGCATAGCAATCTGAGAGCAACCGTTCACCATCCTCTGCCTTTGCTGTAGGCTGTTGTAGGTTCTCAACTGTTGCCTTTTGTTTATTGTTTTGGTTATTTTTAGTGCCTACCTGCACAATTTCTGCAACTGCTATCAGCAGGGCGTCTACATTCTTACGGCCCTTCAGGCTTCTGCAAATGGTTTTGTTATTTCCTCAGTTTTCCTATCCATTTCTCTTTGTGGTTTACTTTGTACATCCAGCTACATCAGTTTAGAGAGTCATCTTCTGTATTTCAAAAATTGAGCAACTTATGTCTGTGATAATTTTCTGGTTAAATTATGCAATGTTACACTCTGAGCATAATACTAACAATGAATATTTAAGGTGCCAACATAATTATTGGTATGCAGGTTACCACAGAGAGAAAAGACATTGTGTAAGACTTTAACTAAACCACTCAGCTCTAAGTGAAACGCAGTAGAACTCTGATTTTGATAAACAAAAGAAAGTGACTTGCTGTAAGTTTTCATTTAAAAGAAAAAAACATGTAATGTTCACTAATATAATTTCATTCTAACTGGAGACAAAGCTCGTACAGGAAGGATTCAGAAGATTAAATTAAAGACTTTTGCGCTATGGTAAATGATATTCTTCCTCCACAGAGGCAGACAGATACATGTGTTGTTACCAGTGTGTTCTTTCCTGGCACATGGTGCAGTAGGAAGTACTTTTCTGCTTTCATTTACTTCGTGTTTCACAGCAGGCAAGAGAGGTTTTGCACAATGTCTGAGGCAAACCTGAGCTTTTAAAATCAGTAAGGCAATGATTTCCTGGTCTCTCTAAAAATCAAATTATAGCTCTGAAGTTTTGGACTGCTGAGCCCCACTGCGTTTATCCTCACCGTCTGAAGGGAAATACTCTTTACTGTGCTCCCCACAGTTCTTAGGTTAAAAAAAAAATTGTGTTTCTGTTAGCGTTCAGTTAAGTTGCAGTTTCACTCTGCATGGAATTGAAACTCAAATGCTCTTGGCTGAGTGACAATTCGTTCCTAATTAGGAGAAAAAATAAAAAGAAAATCAGCCTTACTCCAAAAGAAAAGGCAAAATGTTTGTAGAGTTATTAAAGCTTCTGAAGTTTGTAGCTGTAGACTGCAAGGGAGATTTCCAAAAGCAATGAGCTGCTCTTGAAAATTAACAGGATTGGGTAGTGACTGTGCCTTTGAAAATCTGCTTAAACCCAAAGTGAGAGGGGGTCATGTTTAATCTGTATTCCAGTATGATACACTGCAGATGTGTTTAGGTGCCTGTAGAAATCAACTTTCAAAATCTAATTGATGCTGCTGAGTCATTCTCTTAGGTACCGCTTTGCAATTACTTAAACCTATCTGTTTTATAATAATGTTAATAACTATAAATGAGTTCACACTAACTTTCTGCTCTCGTTACTCACAGTCTGTGAAATATTCTGAGCGGAACAGCTAAAAGTACAGTGCTTGCAATGAATATTTTCCTCCTACCAAAAATGTTTTGAATGGTCTTGCAGAACTCAGATGGATTTTAGTGAGACATCTGCATTATTTATAATAACCTCAACTGAAAAGCTCAGTGCCAGTTACATGAAAAAGAATCCAGTTACCAGACAATAGCAGAAGGATCATATTTTATTACAGTATTTTTAGTAATCAAGCACAAAGTTTGAAAAATAGAATCCTGAACCTATAGTGAGTTAATGAGCCCTTTCATAGTCCTTGACCAAAATGTTAACGATGCTAAATGTTTTTCTTCTGTGAACTTTCTTGTTTTTGTTTATGTCTATATGACTCAGCCACTAACAAAAGGGAGTTTTAAAGAATGATTGCAAAGCCTTTCTCTCTTCATTGTTCAAGTTTTAGTCTTTTGAAATGAGTTCTTCAGCTCCACAACAGTTGGAGAAACCATGAACTGCTGTTTAAAATGTAAAGAAAAATGTGCAGGAAAAGAAGAAATGACAAAAAA